TCACTTAGGACTGGCGTGATTCCTCTCCTAAATTGGAGGTTTGCGTATGCAATTATATCAAATGATGTGTTTGTTTATATCTTCAAACCACATTCAAGCTTGCCTATGATTTTTCTTTGAAATTCAATTTCATCATGTCAGTCCCCAATTTACTGTCCCCAGTGGGTCTACAGTTACATGTGTGACGTCCACGCCTCTCACTTGCATGGATTATAGAATGGGATTGCCTGCCACACAAATGAGTCAGAAAGGTTGAAGAGGGAGGTTGCTTTGTTTTACCATCTTCCCTGTCCTCAGGCCAAAGGCATTCAGCTGAAGCAAAGTTGTTAAAAATGAAGGTGCAGTGCTGGTGATTTTAACTAATTTCTCTGGATGGTGAAGGCTGGCTCACTGCATTCCTAGCCCACTCTAAATATTAACAGTGCTGGAGAGGGCATTATGGAACAGAGAGTTAAGCTTCCACTGGGACCACATGCAAACCATATCAGAGCATCTGCACGGAGTCCCAGCTACTCTGCTTCTGATCCAACTTCCTGCTAATGTGCCTAGGAGACAGCAGATGATGCCTCAGGTACTTGAGTACTTACCACCTGTATGGGAGACCCAGATGGAATTCCCGGCTCCTGACTTAAGCCTGGCTTGGCCCGGCCCTGGCTGTAATGGGCATTTGAGGAATGAACCAGCAGGTAGAAGATCTCTCTGTTTCTCCCTCTTTCTCTCTCTGTTTCGAACAAAAAAATCTTTTTAAAAAATGTTCTTGATTCCCATGGATGAAGATGATCACTGTACTCATCCAACTCCCTCACTTAGTGCCTGATTACTTTACTAATTATTCATATATTCATTCATTCATTCATTCATGTATTTCTAAGCATCTGCCTATTCTAAACGCGAAAGACGTTTTAAAACTTAAAAGGTATATCTACCTTTTAGAGATGTCAGCGATGACAATTTGAACAGGTGGAATTAATTACCTAGAGTTCTGAGTCCTGGCTATAGATCTGTTTCTGTAACCCTGATCACAGTTCTTTGATTTATGGGGAAAATGTCATCTGGCTTAATACGTTTGATGGCCTTCAAAGGTGGCTGTCCACAGAACCTCCCCTTCACTGACGCATGCACCTGGCACTACTCAGAGCTGGGTTCTGTGTCCCTTCCCCTGACTCCTGACTGCCATTCCTGACAGGCCTCAACCAACAGAATGGGGGTGAAAGGTTCCCCTGGGCCTCACTGTTAAGACTGGCAGTTTCCCCCTTTGCTCTCTTGGAACCAACCCAGCTACCCTGCTGTAAGGGGCTCTGGGCTGCCCTGCTGAAGAGGAAGGCCACAAGGGAGGGGCCTTGCAGATGAGCTATTGTGCAGAAAAGGAAGACTTCTGAGGAAAATCTGTAATGCCCCAGCCATGAGCCAGCACCCTGACCACCAGATACAATCAGCCCCTGCCCCCTGAAGGCACCACCCCCAGCAGAGGAACTGCAGAGGCAGCTGACAGCACTAGGAGTAATAATAAATCATTATTATTACCCAAAAAAATACCCTAAAAAAGCAGGAGCTATGATTTCTGCAGAATCTGTAACTGTTTTATTGATATGTAATTTGTATACAATAACATTCACCCATTTAAGGTACAGGATTTGATTTTTCAGAATATGTATTTATAGAATTCTGCAATCATTATCATAATCTGTGATTTTGGAATATTTTCATGATCCCCCCACAAGAAACCTTGCACCCCTGAGCAGATGCTCTGCATCCTCCACCCCTCCTCATCTGTCTTCCTCTTTGACTTCAATTTCTTTTCCTTACCTTTTACCTTATGTCTATGAAAATAAAGGTGGTAGGAGCCCAGTGGGGCCCAAAGCCAGCAGAGATTTTTCTGTATCTTTCCCCCAGGAGCAGAACCTGCTTGGCTTTCTTGCAGGTCCTGGTCTATTGATGTGTGTGTTCTTTCAGACTCTTCAAGGAGCCTGCCCTGTATATATGATGGAACTTCAGGAAGTTCATGGAAAATGCAGTGAAAAGTGAAGCTGATTTTGATGCAAAAATATTAAAATCCTTGTATATGCACAGTCTTTAAACAGTTCATGAAAGTGTATAGCATGAACAAGAACACATGGGGATTTCAAAAAAAATTTGCACCACAATAAACTTACTTTAACTGCATTTTCCATGAACTTTGTATAGTTGCCCACCTATGTGAAAACCAATGTGGAATGATAAAGGGTTCTGGGTAAACGTGTGGAGATGGAAGGAGACCACACTGTTTCCCCAGTCGCACGTGGGTACTGTGAAAACTGAGTGGATTCCCTAAGGAATTGCCCTCAGAACCATCAGGGGAGAAGTTTACCTCTTCCCTGTGCAGTCACACCCCAGGGGTCAGCAGCCCCGTGACCTTGGTGCAGGGGAGCTGCAGTGACAGCAGGGTTCTCAGAAGGGCAGAGGGCAGAGGGCAAAGGGCACCTGATCTTTTGTGCCTAAAGAGCAGCTGGGTGGAGGCCCACAGGCCTTTCATTCCTTTATAGCCCCAGTGTAACAAGCATTCCTGCTCTTTGTGACCTCCAACAGAGGATGCCCCACCGCAGAGGGAGTGATCCTTGGTGAATGCCTCTCCCGCCAGCCGCTCCTCACTTGGGAAGAGCCTCTGTGACATATGACCTTGTCACATAGAATGGCCTGAAAATGAAGGTGTCAGGTGGAGTGTTAAGCACCTCCTGCTACAACCCCAAAGACCCTTAATAATGGAAGTCACAAAGCTGTGTGCCCTTGTATTCCTTCTTTATCACCCCCACCCACAAGGACACTCACACATCTCCATCTCTCCCTCGCCTGCCCTCTACACCCCATACGTGCACACACTGAGCCCAGGGGTTGGATCCAAATGCTAGAGCAGCTCTGTTATTTCATTCTGGGCGAAAAAAAAAAAAAAAGTAATAAAAAGTCATAGTGAGATTCCACAAAGGATAGAGGAATTAGATGGCACCTTCCTCTCAGAATCAGAGGCTGGTTCAGGCCTCATCAAAGAAATTAGCATGAGGTAAATGAGGGTGGAATGGAGGGACAGGATCCGTGTTTGTTAAGTTCCCAGGGGATCCCTGTGGGCAGTTAGGAGCTCTCACTTGAAAACTCTGGCTGGCAGCCTTCTCTCCACCATCTCTGATGATACTTCACCTTCATCCAGACTGCCTGGCATCCACCCATTCACTGAATGAATGGAACTGTCACACACACCTTGGCTGCCCACTCACAAGACAACAGCCTCCTAAAAACACATTCTAAGATTTGAATATAATTGGTCCCTTCCATGGCCAATTTTGATAACACCATCAATGAGCTTCTGTTCTGTGTTTCAGGTAGGCAACTAGCTCAGCACCAAAGCTTCGGGATGGAAGGGCAGGCTCGTTTCTGTGAAGTAACCCGTCAGTCTGTCTGCTAGGAAAATACAGACATGGGAACAGAGGATGGTAGTACGGGGCAGAGTATATTGGTTCCTTATCAGATGGGCACTGAGCTGTATTAAAAGGGGTCGGTGAAGGCTAAGACTGGAACTAAATTTGAAAAAATGTGTGTGTTGAATATAGATGAAAACAGTATGTTGAACATTTCATAATTGCTAAGAGAATAAACTTCAAAGTTCTCACCATAATAAAGTGCTGATTCATAGATACGTTAATTCAACGTAATAATCCTTTATGGTACACACAAATCACAGGAGCACTCTGTACCCCATACAAAACGTATATATCCGTAAATTGGCCATTGACAATACAAAGATTTAAAAAGGGAAAATGCGTGGGTGACACAGGGTGGGCCATATTCATTGCAGAGTGAATGCATGGATAGGCAATCCCTTGTGTGAGGGAAACATGGCTTTCCCTTCCCGGGAGAGCATACAGGTGGAGGGGAGCAGGGCCACCCCATGGGGAGTCGTGTAACTGGGACTGGGGTATTAGTTTGAAGGTTTGGGGGAGTATTCATTCTCCTTTGGCCCCTTTGGCTTTCCGTGAAATCCATGTGCCTCCGCCCACCACTTGTGCCTCCGCCCACCACTTGTGCCTCAGGCAGATCCTTGAGGTCCTGCAGACCTGGGTGAATTCCTTTTCCTGCTTTCATGCACTTTGCCAGCTTTTTGTATGATTTTTCTCTGTGTTTGTCCTTACCAGTCAGAACATGCCATGAAAACTTCCCAGCCCATATTCTCTTCAGGGATGTTGTGGAATCAAGAAGTTGAAAATAAACTTGACCTTGTAATTGCCCATTTGACAGTCAGAATAATAAAACCCACAAAGGACAAATCACAAACTGGTGCAGTATCCTGGGAAACCTTGAACTTTGGTCTTCTCTTTCCTTCTTTTTTGTTTTTGTTTTTGTTTTTAGTCTCAAAGGGATGATTCATTTAGGAGAAATTCAGTTGGAAGCAAAGCTAGATATTTTCCATGTGGAACTTATTTTGTATAAAGGTTTAAACACATAAGATGACAGAATGAAATCTTTGTACAAGAGTTATTAAATTTGAAATAATTATGTATACAAGTAGTTATTACAGGAATAATCTTCTTTGTCAAGGATAACAAAAAATTATATAAGCATATAAAAGTTAAATAAGAAAGTGCTGTTTCATAGCCTGAATCTAATCAGCATCAACAGCCTATTAATTGTTCAAGAACTCTAAAGTCTTTAATGAGGTTCCCACTGTAGAATTTCAGTCATATGTAAATGAATCATTGAAACTCCTCATTATCAGAAAAACAATGGTGCTTTAGTGAGTTTTACATCCCCTAAGTGATTACAATACCTCAACTGTGGTAAGCAGAAGGGAAACAATTGTTTCAAGTTTTCTTCATAAATTTGGTTCAGGAATGATTTCTGAGACCATTTGATTGTCATGGGAGATTGAAGAGTTACCATTGCCCATGCTTTACCTTTAAGCAGAATTGTTTGCCACACTCAGTACACTACTTGCCCCACATATTTAAAAGTCAAATATTCTGATTTCTACACAGGTCTGATAACAACAACTTCAAGGAAGCTGGATCGAGAACAGCAGGCAGAACATTTTCTGGAGGTAAGCCCATGGAGGTGTTCATTAAAACTGACTTTCACTAAACTTCTGTAACCTTTGACATAAACAGGAGCTTAATGTGTTTGAACCATACTTGGTATGGTTTGGAAATTGAGATATTTCTCTGGGGCTAATTGGTTTGGATTTGGGAGGTTTCTGATATATTCCACTCATGATTCTTCTGTGTGTAAGGGTGACAGAGCAACCTTTGTGCTTTGCCCATCATAGGCAGGGTGTGAACATCTCTGGCTGGGTCTGTAACCGGAAGAGAAAGTCCAGGGCCAGAGCCACTGTGGCCCCGCTGTGAGAAGGGGAGAACAGCAGTGCTGCAGGTAGAGTGACAGGCATCCCTGGGCGGAAGCCCGGCGCCCTCCCCTTTGTTTCTTTTGCTGGGGAGAAGGCTGAGGAGGAGAAGGTTGCTGCTTGATTCACTGCTCAAGATAACTATTTCTGAAGCCATAAAATGTTCTCCTATAATTCATTAAGAAACAGCAGCAATATAAACTCAAAGAGCATTATTTCTGGAGATGAGAAGAAAAGCACCATGAGGCAGAGGGTGAGAGAGTAGACGTGAGAGAGCCGTGCAGCCATCTTCGCCACGTGTGTCGTGTGTCCTTGATGAGCTTGAAGTCTGGGTGTGTGTTTGATGCTGTGATTTAAGTACAACCGTGTGACGTGGACTGGATGGCAGTGCTCACTAGTTAGGGCTTGGTTAAGAGTCTACGATGTGTCTATGCTTCCGGAATGACCTTTGAGCCCCTAAAAAAACACTTAACCTCAGTCCACTGCTTCTCCTGACAAACCCACATTTGCACACACACACAGCAAGCACTTCAAATCTTACGATGCAGTCTCTTGTGGTGGCCTCCTTTAAACCTGTTTGCCAATAATGACTTATGTAAAGGACACTAGACTGGGAGTCAGCACTCCTGAGGCTTGGAGCTCCCTAATATGATTTGCTTGACTCTTGGGTAATGCTGTTCCATTGCCCTGTACCTACAGTTTCTCCTGCTGTGAAATGTAGCAAAGAATTACTATTCCATATAGCCCAAAGAATCGCTATGAAGATCAAACCTTACATTTTGAATCAGAATATTTTTAAAACTCTGAAAGCATTATGCTTAATAAAGGATCATCATCATTATTATCATGTAGCACTATGATAATCCTTTTATAACATTGCTATCATCTCATAAAGATAAAAGACTCCAGGCTGCCAAAAAATAATTACAATAATTCTTTTTTCAAAATTATATTAATAAGCTGCAGTACCTAACTGGTCCAGAATTAGAGCAGATTCACCAGAAGAACAACACCTTATATTACATTTATGTGCTCTTTCTTTCCGGAAGTTGAGTCTGGGACACGTAGGGAGCCTGTGTTCTCAGATAGTTGAACCCATTACCTCCCAGCAGGAGGAAGGAATGCTTTCTCATTAGCTGGGACATCTGGCTGAGATCACTTACTGCTTTGTCCCTGCAAGGTAGTGTCCTCAGGAGGTGCTTTGTGCGGTATGCCTGTTTACAGGGTGGATCCCTAGTAGGGAAAAAAGGCAAGAGTGTTTGCCAGGTACATGAACGCCCCTCCCCAGAGCATCCTTAGTGGTTTCACCTCCTTCACAGACTTAACATAAGTATGCTGAATGGTATGTACTTTGGAATAACACAGATTGGGATCTATGTCAATTTTCCATACTTGGTATAATCTACACAGTGAGTAGGGGAGCATAGCCATTGACAAAATTACAGGGTTGTTGGGAAATTGAACTATAAAATATATGCAGCACTTTCAGCCCAGGCTCTAATGCTAAATAGGTGCTCATTGAGGTATAGGTAAAATTGTTTGGATTTTAGTCACTATCACATTAGTGATGTAATATCTCAACCCTTGTAAAGATATAACTTCATCTTCACACTGCAGAAGGAGCCCCAGGTTGCAACCATGAGCCTCAGCCTGTATGCTAGGGATTGCCTTACATCCAGGGAACAAAGAGTTAGCAGGAAGCTTGGAGAGGCACATCACAAATGAAAAGCTGCTATAACATAGGAGTGAGCTCTGTGGGGACACTAAGAGATGTGAATGTGACAGTGCCTGAAAGTGGGGATGTGATAGGCGGTGTAGGAGATGGCATTTGGTCACGTGATGCCAGGACTCTGTTCAAGAAGCAGAACCACAGCCATTGTAAGGACATATATAAGAGTAGAATGCGGATGATGAGAAATCAAGTTTGGAAAACAAATGGGAGGTGGGGGCCGGGCTGTGGAGGAGATTCTGATGTTTTCTCCAGAGTGCAATGGAAAGCCATTAAGCAGGGGTGACAGATCTGATTACCATTGTAGTGACAATGTTGGGCTGGGGCAAAGCACCCATGGCAGTGGGGAGAATGTGAGGAACTTCTGTAGAGATCCAGTTGAGAGAGGACGGGAGGTCAAGAAGGGATCTGTCTAATGCAGATGCCATCATCATTCCAGCCAACAGGAAGCAAACCAGCTGCTCTGAAGTGTGCAAAGTGGAGGCTGTTAACACTGTAGGTCATCTGAGTCCCACCAGCTTGTCCTCACATATAGCACCTCATTGCTCTACCTAGATCCCAAAAGTGTACAACACATATGCTGTCACGTGTGTCAAATGTCCTGCTCAGGCTTCCAAACCCAGCTGAATCTCAATCCTTCTTGCATTCTCTCTCCCTCTCCTCTCCCCCTCCTCCTCCCTCTCCTCCCCCTCCTCTCTCCCTCTCTCTCTCTCTATTCCTCCCCCAGACTCTCTCTCCCTCTCTTTCTCCTTCTCTTTCTCCTCTCCCTTCTTCCCTCCCTCCATCCTTTCCTCTTTGTCTCCCTCTTTCAAATCCCAGCCACATTGTATTTGTTTTATATAACAGTCCTGCAAGACTTTGAACACCCTTCATTTTTTTTCTGAGTGGATCATGAAAGGAATATTGCTTTAATTTAACCTCACAAAAAATGAGTGATATAATATCCTTGAGAATGCAGAATAGAATCCTCTGTTGTACACAGATTTCTGTATCTGCTGATATGTTTTGTGATTTGTAAGGGCTGGGTGTGGGTAATTAGCCTCCTGGAGAGTGTTTAATTGCCAAGATAACCTTATGCTCCTCTTAAACTCATGGTAACCTTCTGACTCTATTTCATATCTCTCCTTCCCAATAAAATAAAGTTGACTCTTCTTGAAAGGGCCCATTTAGAAGCTGACCCAGAAGGTACACTTCTGAATAAGTAACCAGGAGGGCATGAAAGACTAGTTTGTAGTTTGCTCTTCCCATGATAGTTCACTTTAATTGCACATTGTATGTACATTGATTTACGGTATGTAGTTTGTGTACAGGCTGTAATAGTTTTTGATTCTGCAGAGCATTTGCCTTAAATCTATGACTGTAAAAGGAGAGTTGTCATTATCAGAATCCAAAGGACTTGCTAAAGCAACAGGAGCAGCAGAGAACTGCATGCAAATTCACAAGTACAAGCTTATACTTCTTTGTGAATTCCAAGTGTTAACTCTTGACTGGTTTGGGAGTCTGTTATGTGAAAATATTGGCTTGATCTTCTCTCCCTATATATAAAATGCAAAAATACTTGGTTTTCAGATTATTGAAAATCACATACATTTCTTGTTAGCCACTTATGATTAGCGAGGAGGTTGCCTCACACACATGCAGACCTGATGATGGACAAGTGAACAAAATAGTCAGCATTCAAGCTTAGTGGTTGTGACTTTAGCCCTGGTGACTACTTCATCAGAGAACACATCTCTGAAATAGAGATTAATTGCTTTACCCCTGCCTTATGGTATAATTAGTTGCATATATTGTTTTCTCAACTACTTAATTAGCTGATTAAGCTTCCCATTGGCATGAAATTTGACTTTTCATGATAGTGCATAGAGGTAGTATGTGAAAGCTTGGAGGTTAATTTCAAACAGGCCTGAGGTTATGTGTGGTGCTGTTCACACAGTTTAGACAAACTGTTCACATCCTCATCTGTAAAATGAGGATAGCAATTCCTACCAAAGGGTTGACATAAGAATGCAATGAAATGACAGCTAGAATATACTCAGAATGTCATCTGTTAGGCAGGACAAGTTCCATCAACAGTGGGACTGTGGTCAGCACAGGCTGTGTTGGGGTCTTTGTATTCAGAGCATCTGGTTCTGTATCCAGAAAGCAGTGAACACCGATAAATGCTGCATCAGTGAATGATTACTCTCAGGAAACTTTATCTCATCCTTAAATGAGATCATGGAGAGGGCACTTTGAGCGCATAAGACAGATCACAAGTTTAGAGACAGGAAGAAGGAATGTTGCACCTCTTTCCATCTTTATGAGCTTTTCCAAGTTAAATTAGCTTCTATCTGTTTGCTTATCTATGAAACAGGGTTTGTAATAATACCTACTCCATGGATAACCTGTAGAGAGGGAGTGGCATGCATGGACCCACAACCCTGTTTTCCTTCACTCTTTCTCATCCCCCTTTTCTCCCCTTGTCCTCAACAGATAAATTGCCAGTTCCCTTTCTTTCCCTTTGCCAGCTCCCATACTTTAAATGGTTTATAGCAGTTTTATGATTCTAAAAAGATACAGCTACCTAAATAATCCTACAGTCCTGGCTTAATTATGTGTGAATCTTTATCTTGCTTGCTGAAGGAGTATTATTTTGCCTCCCTTTTGATCTTAAAATGCTCATCTGTTCAGGGCGGGTTGGTTCTGATAAAAGTCTCCTAGAGAGAACAGAGAGTATTTTATTTGCAAATCAAACAAGATGACAAGGCCCAGTAACCAGTATAAAGACAGCAGATGAGAGATGATGTTGTATGTGTGCATATAACTTGGAACAGCCTAGAGATTGTGGTGAGATTTTATAGAGAAGTAGGTGTAAATATCAAAACACATTATAGAGGAGTACGCGAGAGCTGTAGGCATGTATATTATTTAGTATCTGTGCTTTTAACACACTCATCCATCTTCCACTGTAAGGTACAACTCATGTGTC